GTGGAGAAAAGGGGGAACACCAGACAGAGACTAAGCTGGGCCAAAAAGCAACAGAGACTAAAGAGATGACCAAAAAACAGATGGGCGTGGAAGGTGAGGTGAAGAGGCAGGAGAAGGAGAGAAAAGAGGCAAGAAAGGAGAAGGAGGTGAGGGAGCGAATGAAGAGGCAACGGGAGAGGGACCGAAGGGGCTGGGAGAAGGAGGAGAGAGCCAAGAGGGAGTGGGCTGAGAAATCCAGGAGGGAGAGGAGGGAGGAGGAAAGAAGGGAGTGGGAGAGGAAGGAAAGGGAGAGAAGGGAGAGGAAGAGGGCCCACGGCAACGGTCTATCGGGGTCGAGGTTGTCCTCCAGGTCGGAGGGATCCAGGCAAAGCTACGGGAGGGACGAGCGCCACAGTATGGAGGCTGACGCCAACGCGGTGAGGAGACGCGCAGGCTGAAGTTTACAGCGTGTGGAGGCCATCGCTTTATCTGCAATTCTGTGTCTTTGTCCTTCTCTGATCGCAGGAGGAGGAGCTGGACGAGTTCCCGTTCGACATGAGTGACTTTGTCACGGTGGACGAAGTCGGAGACGTGGCCGAGCTTCCACTCAAAAGATCAGAAGAAGGGGAGACCCCGCCCACATGTGTCCCACAGGACACTCCACAGGTAGCTTCACCGTGGCTGTGCACACAGAGCTTATCATGTATGATTACGGACGTTTCAGCCGATGCTCTTCTCCTGTTACCCACTGGTGTTTTTATACTCGCTGAAGTCCAACCTGTCACTCGGGGCGGTTCATGTAACTTTGAAATGATAGAAATACCCAGAATATGTTTTACTCCTCTGCTGTAAAGGCTGATGCTTCCACCCTGCCAGGCAGCGGCACGGACACCTGACTGTGAATGCAGTGACCTGAGAACGAGCTTCAGGAGCTTCCAATAGACACCACGGGTGTTTCTACTAGGAGGGAGACCGCTAACACCGCCATTATTTCTTTATTTATGCGTCTGTTTGGTTTCTTGTGACCACAGACCTTCCTGGTTTTAGCTGTGCACACGCTGGTCTCCATCACTCTGTCCATGTCTACACTTCAAGTCTCCTCCTCTTCATGACTCCACTGCTTCGTCTGCACCCACAGACATCCGAGAGTGGATGCTGCAGGCTTGTGGTCAAAACAAAGATCCTGTGTTTCAGTTCTTTAGTCAAACTGAAACTAAATCTAAGCTCAAAGAAGACTTTACAAGCCTGATATGAAGCTGGAGGAAGGGCTGCTACAAATCTGGGAGTTATTAAGCAGGCTTTCGGTCAGTAATTGCAATCTTAGTGACTTTTTAATTATTCATACATATTTGATAAGAAGAAATCGAAAAGATGTGTTGGGGAGACGAAGTCTTAGAACAACAGTGTTGTGTTATAGAGTCACAGAGAGTCTGATCCACTCAGGCTCTAAACACTGAAGCAGTTTTATTTTTACAGAAC